TGGATAGGCTGAGGGAGTGCATACCTACGAACGGAAACGACAGACAACCTATCCACCGCAAAACAATACAACAATTTATGAAACAAAACGCATTAATAATCGCCGGCAAACAAAACGCCCTCGACCGAGTGCAACGAATGACAAGAGAACATCCGAGCACTGTTGCAGCTCAAATGTGTCCCACGAGACGCGTCTGATATTTCCCGATGCTTCGCAATAGCCGCTAATAAGATTCGTTTCGGCTCGGCTCGGCTTCGACGCCCGATAGACAATGAAACAGTCACGGCATTTTGTTTCTGTTGAATTTTGGAGAAAGTATGCAGAGGTCTTACGTGTGACCACGTGAAAGTCCTGATGCGAAAGTCACTAGCTCGGAAGCCGGAAAACTGGGGAGTTGAAATTTGGAGGGATGTTCCCCATCAATGTTTTCAAATTCAGCTTTCACGTACCAGCACACGAGATTTTTAGTGGGAAATTCCTCAGCTTAGGAGCCAGACAGCATATCTACTAGTTCTCCAGGCACGAAAATGTAAAAAAAGTTATATTTCTACTGAGCAAACATCCGCTGGACGGAACTGCACAAAACGCATGATCGCACTGGTTACCTTTGTTCCTAGACAAATGCTATGCTAATTCATCCCCGCGCACTATTTGCACGCCATATGCAAAGTATTCAACAAAACGCGCAATTTCATAATTACGCTGAAAATCGATAATCTACGACAACATTGCGGGGAGAGGGGGTGCCGCCAGAGTTTTGTTGCGCATCAGTGAGTTTCGTTGAAATTTTTCGTTTTTTTTTTCGATTTGCCAGGATTAGTGCAGCAGTGCTGATCGATGGACGCATCGCCGGGAGCTGCTTCTGGCTCGTAGAAGAGAGGGCCTGGGCCAAGCGCCACTTCAGCCGATCGTTGGCCAATTTTCATGCTTCGATGGCACTCTTTCCGGCGTAATTGCTTTCAAAAATTGTTATTGCCCCAGGAGCTGCTATCGCACAAGGAATTGTTTTGGAAGAAGGAACCGCAGTGCCGGCGGCCCAGCGCTTGGCTCTTCGCAGCACACACAGTCATGCCCGAAGAAAGTGTTCAAACATTTGGCACTGATGTGAAAGGTTAGTTTGAACTTTTTTTTCCCGATTTTCAATTTCTTCTTTTTATGCGTTTTTTGCAGCTATGCAATGCAGAAAACGCATATTGACGAGGAGTTGTCAGTGTATCCGTGTGTCTCTGTGTCTGTGTGTGCGTCTGTACCGATTTTTTCTCTCAACCTATAAAAGCTACAGGGCTGAAACTTTGGGGACTTAATCTACTTGCTCGTACAGACCCCAATGCTCAAAATGGGCGCCCTCACCCGTGTGGTACCCGCGTACGAGCACGCCAAAGTTTTTTACGGGTAAGCTGCTAACTCAGAAACCAGAAACGCTGGGAGGCTGAAATTTTAAGGGGACGTTCCGCGTCCAAGTAAGTATCAATGAGCTCAAACCCAGTTCCCCGGCAAGCGTGGTACCCACTTACTGGCCCACCAAATTTTTTTTTAGGGTAAGTCGCTAACTCGGGAACCTGAGATGCTAGAAGGCTGAAAGC